GTATTTAATAGCGATAGGAGCAAAAAAGAAGAAGGAAAGAAAAGAAAAAGTAAATACACTCTTAAGGGAACTCTGTGAATTAGAGCAGACACATAAAAATAGAGTAACAAAAGAGGTCATGCAGAAGATAATAAATAAAAGAGAAGAATTAAATAACATTTTGGAAGAAGAGAAGAGGAGAGTGTTTACTAAAATGATAAGTGAGAGATATAGATGGGGGGATAGACCAGGAAAGTATTTAATGAGGGCTCAGAGGAAAAAAAAAAAATCTAGGAATTATATTGAGAAAATAAGAGATAATAAAGGAGAATTGGTTCATTCAACCAAAGATACATTAAAAGTGTTTAAAGAATATTACAATAAGTTATATAATATTAAGGCTCATGGTACCTTAGGAGAAGTCAGAGATAAAGAGAGAAGACTGGCATATTTAAAAAAGGCAGGATTACCGATATTAAATGAAGAACAATTAGAATCCCTAGAAACTGCTATAACGCAGGAAGAAATACATTTTGCATTAAAAAGTACAGTAGCCGGGAAAAGTCCAGGACCCAATGGGTATACAGTGAGATATTATAAAAAATATGAAGAGATTCTAATACCTAAGTTGAGAATATATATGAATGCTCTGGGATGAGAGATGGAGATGAGGAGGGAATCCCTGCAAGCTCATGTGGTTCTCATACAAAAGGAAGGTAAAGATAATACTCACTGCTCAAGCTACCAATTTCCTTATTAAATATAGATACTAAGCTATATGCAAAAGTATTGGCAAGTAGATTGAAGGACTTAATGCCGAGTTTGATTCATATAGATCAAGTGGGGTTTGTCCCAGGGAGAGAGGGCAGAGACAACGGTTTAAGATCTTTGTTCCTTATACAAAAAAGTAGGAAAGAAAGAACTTCGACGTTGGCACTTGCGATTGACGCTGAAAAAGCATTTGATAGAGTAAATTGGGGATATATATTAGACACCTTAGAAGTAATAGGCATGGGACCTAGAATGAGAGAATGGATTAGGAAATTATATACACAACCCTCGGCAGCAATAATGGTAAATGGGGAATTATCCGAGTACATTGGGATGCAGAATGGAACAAGACAGGGATGCCCTTTGTCCTCATTGTTACTGTCTTTGGAATCTCTTTTGGCTACCATCAGGAATGATGTAGATATAAAAGGAATTTGTGTAGGAGAAATGGAGCATAAGGTGGCAGCTTATGCAGATGACATGTTGTTCTATGTAGGAAATCCAAGGATAACATTACCAAACTTAATTAAATGTTTAAAAGAATATGGAGAGATGTCAAACTTAAAAATTAACCCAACTAAAACAGAGATCTTAAATATAAACGAAAAAAAAATGTTACAGGAGGAATTCCCTTTTATTTGGAGAGAAAGAGATCTAAAATATTTGGGCATTAAACTTACTGTAGCTTTAAAGAATTTATATAGATTAAATTATATCCCACTATTAAACGAGATTAAGGACAAAATAAAGAAATTAGGAAGAGGATTTCAGTCATGGATTGGTCGGATAAACTTGATAAAAATGGTAATCGTTCCCAAAATTCTATATAAGTTTCAAATGATACCAATTAAGCTCCCAGAGGCATATTTTAGAATAATTAAAAAAATTATAACATCATTTATATGGAGAAATAAGAAGCCCAGAATAAGCTTTGAAATCTTAAATAGAGATAAAGGAAAAGGCAGACTGGGGGTACCAGATATGAAGAGATACTATAATTCTGTAATACTGGCAAGAATTTTTGATTGGACACATAATGCACAGGGGAAAAGTTGGGTAAACATAGAAAATACATTAAGTCGCAAAAATTTAAGTAGAATCATTTGGCTACCTCCTCAATTTAGAGGATTAAAAGATAGCACAAGTTTGTTTACACGTAATGTTTTGAGAGTTTGGGACACTTTACACAAAGGGGGTGGGAATTTAATTCATTTTTAATGCCCCTAGGAGCTACAGAGTTTTTTCCTCCAGGTAAAGAGAGTATTACAGGGAACTGGATTAAGAAGAAAGAAGAAAGATCAATTAAAACATATAATGGTGGGAGAAGAGTTGTGTCCACTTAGTGAACTGAAAAGTAGGAGGGATATATTTGCGAGAATGGATGAATGGCGGTATGGTCAACTAAAACATTTTGTAGGTAGTCTCCCAGTGCCATTAAGAAAAAGAGAAGATTGGAACCCCTTTGAGCACTTATTAGATATAAGAGGAGATGGGAAGCACGGGATCACTAAAATATATAAAATTCTCACAGGTTTAATCACGGCTACATGTCCACTATTTATAGAGAATTGGGAAAGGGATTTAGAAGTAATAATTGATGAGGGAAAACAAAATAAAATATATAGTTTAATTCACGGGAATGTAAATATGAAGGAAATGGAAATTAATTACAAGTGTTTAGTAAGATGGTATATTACACCGAATGAAGCGCATAGAATAAGTGGAGACAACTCACCTTTATGTTGGCGGGGATGTGGAGAGAGAGGTACAATGATACACTTATGGTGGGAGTGTCACAAAATTCAAGAATACTGGGAGGGCATAGTGAATATAATTCAGGAAATAACAGAGGTAAATATTCCTAAGGACCCTGAGACTTGCCTTCTTTTTGGTACCAAGTATTCGGATAAAAAAAATATAAAAAAACTGGATTATTGTATTATTTAAATGCAGCGAAGGGACTGATACCCAAGTTTTGGAAGAAACAACAGGCACCGAAAAGAAAGGATTGGGTAGAAAGTGTAGAGAATATATATAGAATGGAGGAACTTTACCATATGGGGGAAGATAAAATGGAGGTATTTCGTACAAGTTGGGAAAAGTGGATACAGTTTAAAAATTCAGAGGTATACCTAGAATATGTGAAAAGAAGGGGAAAGGGATAAATTTAGTACAGTATAATACAAGTAATAGCTAAGGTTCAGGATTTCTAGAATGAAGTTACAAATGCATAATCAAAGGGTGGGGTAAGGGGAGGTGTAAAAGGTCACCGAGATTAGGGTTATTTCTGGGGAGTGTTATGACAGAAATGTGTATACTGTTTTATTAGCTTTTGTACATTTAATATGGTGATTTGAAAACAATAAAATATTTAAATAAGAAAAAAAAAATCCCATTCATCTTGTCATACTGGATTGTAGGATACAAGCATTTGGTATTTTGACAGCTGTAGCACTACATGTATATCTGTATTGAATGTTCTTAAAGTGTTACTAATTCTATGACCCTGCATTCAGTAGACCCATAGTATACTATACTTCCACAATACAAAGAACATGGAAATGCAATTATTTTAGTAAATATAAACTGCTAATACCTTAGCCCAGCACTGGTTAATATTGTGAGAGGAGTTTTCATTCTCCTCTGACTGTCCTATGAGGCTGCATGTCCCCTGACCCTCTGTCTGGACAGCCCTGCCTGAGTGGCCCTGTGCAGACCACATGCATCCTTCCCAAAAAAAACCCAAAAACCTCTCTAGCAATACACACTAAACAGAGCATGTGCAGTCTTGCCACTGCTGCTCTGTACTATGACAGATGAATTGGGGACAGCAAAAGAAGGACAGGAACAGAGAAGACAGGATCAAACTGTCTTTTTATACAATGTGGAGGATTAATACCTTCCACAGTGAGTATAACAAGCATGCTTTCCTGCATATACAACAAGCTCGTGCAGACTCCACCTCTGCAACATCGCCAAAATCTGCACGTTCCTAACTCCAGAAACCACTAAACAGCTCATCCACTCCCTCATCATATCACGACTCGATTACTGCAACTCCCTCCTTACTGGCCTGCCTCACCACTGGCTATCCCCGCTTCAGTCGATCCTGAATACGGCAGCCAGACTCATTCACCTTTCCAACCGCTCCATCTCCGCCACCCCCCTCTGCCAATCCCTCCACTGGCTTCCGATTGCGCAACGGATCAAATTCAAAATCCTAACACTGACGTACAAAGTCGTCCACCATACTGCCCCGAACTACATCACTGACCTAATATCCAAGTACCACCCAGCACGCACACTCCGCTCCTCACAAGACCTCCTTCTCTCTAGTTCCCTGGTCTCCTTCTCCCATGCCCGCCTACAGGACTTCTCCAGGGTGTCACCCATCCTCTGGAACTCCCGCCCCAACCCATCAGATTATCACCTACTCTCCTCTTCTTTAGGCGCACCCTGAAAACCCATCTCTTCAGGGAAGCCTACCCCACCTCCTGCTAATTACTGACCTCCTTCACTCTTCCTACCACTCCATCCCCCACAGCTATCTCCTCCTGTGCCACCATCCTCCCCCCTCCCTCCTAGATTGTAAGCTCGAAAGAGCAGGGCCCTCAATCCCCTCATGTTTTGCATTGTCACATGTTCTGTCCCCCTTTGTAATGTACAGCGCTGAGCGAACTATCCGCGCTTTATAAATACTGTATAATAATAATAATATACAGACTGATTTTACTGTTGTGGGTTTTGTAACACTTTAAGTCTTTGTTTTGTACCTTTAATCATAGAATAGTTGACATAGGTTTTGGCTCCAGCTTAGTCTCTGACTTAAAGATTAAGTCCACCTATATAATCATATCATTTTTTTGTTTTTTGCATACGTGGGGCCTCAGAGACAGAAAGTTGCCTTTGCCTACATACTTTGGGCTACAAGCATCCCTCTGTCTTATTTCAGAAAGCTGGGAATATGTATTTGTTGACCATATCTAAAATACATTACTTACTTGATTTAGGTGGGAACAGGCCTCATCTTCCATCATATAGTATGGATAGTTTAGATTTGCTCTGACCTATTTAGAATTTTGTTCCAGATTCAGAAAACAAAGAAGGCAGAACAGGATTTACCTCAAGGACCCCAGGGGCAGGAGATGGAGAAAAAGGACTTCAGACGAATATAGCGGCAGCATCTAACAAGTTGCAGATCAGCTATAAGAGCACTTCTGATGTGTACATTTATTGTGTTTTCTTTTTACCTTTTGGCAACATAATTATTTTTGTTGTCAATTCTTCCTTTTGTTCTCATTATAGTTGACATTTTCTCCAGCAATAAATGGTTATCTCTTTCAATAGTTGAAAGTCGTTCCTCTTCTAGCTACAGCAAATTAAGAGAATTCAATTTAGAATACTTTCTTATCAATTTTAAATAGTAGGCAAAGTTATAAAACACCTTTTTCGATATAAATCTTCTTAGTGATCTTACCTGGGATGAATGACAGAGAGAAAGATGTCTGCATTGTGATTTTACATGTGGACTGTAACCTCTAAAACAAATCCAATGCTTAACACAGATTTTTTTTATCATTAGTATAATAAAGCAGTGGTTAAAATGTGGCTCATTTAAAGCTGAACTCAAGATTAAGCAAATATTGTTTTAATAGAAGAGGCATGTGTATTCTAATTTGAATCTTGTGCTTTGTGTATTTTTTTCGAAGTGCATTATTCAAAATTTAACCTTTCCCTGTCAGGGCCATTCTGCTTTCTTGCACACGTGTTTAAATGTAAATTTTTAGGCCTGAAGATTAGTTAAAACTCCATGATAAATGTAGCGCCCTGCCCTAGGCTGGATAAATGTAGTTTTTGGCTCTGCTGTACCCAGCTGAGCAGCAATCTGTTTTCTAGATCTGGTCAGGTTTCCCTAAGCCTGGTGGTTGATTTCTCCTGTCTTCCAGAAATAGAGTACGAGGGTCAGCCACTGGGTTATAAAAATGTATCTGACCTTAGCCAATCTCTGGGATGGGGCTCCCAGAAGGTGGCCAGGGAGAAGGTACAGCTCTCTCCTGGGGCCTTTGGCCTTGGAGGTAGCTGTGTTACTGAGGAGCTGTTGCTGCTGAGCATCAGCATATACTTGGCTAAGGTCCTGGAGGAACCTGGATTTAAGCAGGCAGTCCGTAGAAGGACCTATTTTCACTAAAGAGTGTTGCATGGAAGCTGGTTGGAGAAAGCTGTCCTTCAACGTTAGGCTACGTTCACACTAGCCTTGTTTTCAAGCGGCAGAAAGGCATTTGGGAAGCGCTTTTACCGCTTCCCAAATGCCTCGGACAATTCTGCCCATTTCAGCACATGGTGCTGTTCTAACGGGAGCGGTAGCGTCGGGGTGCGGCAAAACGGATGCCTCTGGTCGCATCAGGAGGCGTTGAGGCCTCCTATTCTAGTCTATGGTGCCGCTCCTCAAACGCCCGGCCGGGTTGAGAGTAGTGCAGTCACTGACAAAAAACACAAGCTGACAGCAACACAAGCTACTACATTTGTTCAAGATAGATGAGTGTAGTAGCTGCTGGCTCGTGTTTGTGGTAATGATACTGCTGTTCTCCAGCCTGCATCATTCACAACACAAGACACCAGTTTTTACTGTAGTAATCTCTGAACTAGCCATCAACTGGAAAAGATTGTGTGCTCAGTGTTTACAAGGGAAGCAAAGAGGGATAGGGCTAAATGGCAAGGAGTGCTGCAGAACAGAGTGGGGGCTATGGCACAACACAGATTTTAACAAGGACAAATGCTAAGTGCACTTGTCAGGGATCTCCTCGATCCCTGCCGCGATGGTCCCGGCGCAGGCGCACTGCTCCGCCCTGTACACGGGCACTAGGTCCGGGCCGGCCGCGGCGTTCGAGTTCGCGCATGCGCAGTAGAAGCCGCGGCCGCCCGCTGGGCACCAATGGCAGCGCAGGGCGGGATATTTAAAGGTCCCTGAGCTGTCATTTCGTTGCCTTCTGGTCTTACCTGCTTCCTGTGATTCTGTACCTGTGCCTTGTAAGTTTATTGACCCGGATTGTTCTTGACCTGCTGATTTCTCCTGCCCAGACCCTTGCTTTGCCTGACCTCTCTCCCTGGATGCCCCTCATTAGATCTGACCTCCTGTTGCTGACCTGGCGTGTGACCCGACGACTTTCTGCCTGCTCCCTTGTACCCTACCGTCCTCTACGTTACCGACTCGGCCTGTCTGACTACGCACTTACTCAGCCATCCATCCATCCCATCGGGGTCACCCGACCTCCTCACATCTGGCTCTCCCTGGTTGGAGCCCCTGGCCAACACCCCTACCACTGACAGGTGTGCTCAGTAGTGGCGACCTGGTCTCGGGGTACTACAAGTCCATCCCCACCATCAGGGGCCCTGGTGAACAAGTACCCTGGGGCTTAGACTCCGCGCTCTGGGCACGCCTGACCAGTGGAGTGCTAGTGGTGCCGCTCGGCGGTCCCTCACAGTACCAGAAGGCCATGACTGAGCCTCGAGGAGGACCCTCCCCGTTGGAGGAGGTTTGCAGGCACCTGGCTACCCTGACGCAAGCAGTAAACACATTACAGGACAGATGTCTGCAGATCGAGAATCGGTTTCAGGCCTGCACCATATCTGCTCCTGTTTCACAGGCCCCGGCTCCTGCACCGCCGGTCGCAGCAGGCCACGAGCCGGCTCCTGGGCCTTCCGCATCACTCCCTATGGCGGAACCCCGAGTACCCTTACCCGAGCGCTTCCACGGGGATCGCACACGCTTTCGGTCATTCCGTGACTCCTGTCTGCTCTATTTTGAACTGCAGCCACGGACCTTTTTGACAGAATTGGTGAAAGTGGGGTTTGTTATCTCCCTGTTGCAGGGTGAACCCCAAGACTGGGCCCACCGACTAAGGGGAAACAATGATCCTCATCTGGTTACGGTTGACAGCTTCTTTAACGCTATGGCCATCTTATACGATGACCCACAACGGGCGGCCTCGGCCGAGGCCACATTATACACACTCCGACAAGGTCGGCGGGCGGCTGAGGAATACGCCTCTGACTTTAGGCGCTGGATGGGTGACACTCGTTGGAACGAGTTCGCACTTTTGCACCAGTTCCGTATGGGCCTTTCTGAGACTCTGAAAGACGAGCTCGCCCGGGTGGAGGTGCCCGAGACATTAGAGGACTTGATTGCACTCACCATTAAAATTGACCGTAGGCTACGGGAGCGCAGATTGGAGAGGTCTGGTCAGGGTCGCGGAAATACCTGGGGGTCATTCCAAGGATCCAGTCAACATACTAGGCCAAACTTCCAGAACCTGCCGTCTGAAGATGCTCCCGAACCCATGCAGTTAGGCCTGGCACGGCCTAAACTATCGCCTGAGGAACGCCAGCGCAGACGCTCCCAGAATCTGTGTCTGTACTGCGGCGAAGCTGGTCACATGGTACGTTCCTGCCCGCAGAAACTGAGTAAGTTCACCTCATCTTCTTTATCTATTGGCAATGTGAATCCGTCCCAATACTTAGTTGTGCCCCTCTCCTTTCAGCTTTCAGAAAGGACCGTGGAGGTGACGGCCATAATTGATTCGGGGGCATGCAGCTGTTTTGTGGATATCAATTTTGCTCACCAGCAGGGTATCCCCCTCCGCCCAAAGGAGAAGGGGTTTCACATCTTTTTGGCTGATGGTTCCCGGATAAAGTCAGGGGTGGTTAACCAGGAGACCCCTTCCATTGTGACTTCCATTGCCGGTCAGCACCGGGAACTCCTCCGCCTGGATGCTATTGCATCACCCCTTTTCCCAGTCATTCTGGGGCTCCCTTGGTTGCGGGCCCATAACCCCCAAATTGACTGGGAAACTGGGGTTGTCTCGTTCCCTTCCCCATACTGTGGGAACTGTGTCGAACTTCGGGCCCGGAGGTCCCCCAGGTCCTCCTGTGCTCTGAAGGGGATGACAGCCTGAGACAAGTGATTCCTGCAGCCTATCATAAGTTTCTTGATGTGTTTAGTGAACGGGGAGCTGATGCTCTACCCCCCCCCCACCGCCCATATGACTGTCCTATTGACCTGTTACCCGGTTCTGAAATTCCTTTTCGGGCGAATCTTTCCCCTTTCTGAGCTAGAATTAGGGGCCCTGAAGGATTATATTGAGGACAGCCTCCGAAAGGGATTCATCCGTCCCTCCACTTCCCCAGCAGGTGCGGGGATCTTCTTTGTAGAAAAGAAGGACAAGACTTTGAGGCCATGTATTGACTATCGGGAGCTGAATAGGGTCACCATTAAAAATCGTTACCCACTACTACTGGTACCTGAATTATTCCAGAGCTTAAAAGCTGCAGTAGTATTTACCAAGCTGGACTTAAGGGGAGCCTACAATTTGGTTCGCATAAGGGAGGGGGATGAGTGGAAGACGGCCTTCCGCACCCGTTTCGGCCATTTCGAGTACCTGGTCATGCCTTTCGGGTTGTGCAATGCGCCGGCCACCTTCCAGCACTTTGTAAACGACATCTTTAGGGACTTCCTGGACATCTTTGTCATCGTCTACTTAGACGACATTTTGATTTTTTCATCCTCCCTGGGGGAGCACAGGGTACATGTAACAAAGGTGTTGGGGCGGCTGCGGCAGCACGGGTTGTACGCTAAAGCAGAGAAATGTTGCTTTGAACAGGCTAGCGTTACATTTCTGGGTCTGATTATCTCCACCACGGGGGTCGCAATGGACCCTCAGAAGGTCTCTGCGATCCTAGATTGGCCTGAACCCACGGACAGGAAAAGCGTCCAACGTTTTATTGGGTTCGCAAACTTCTACCGGAAGTTCATCAAGAACTTCTCGGGTCTGGTCTCCCACATCACTCAGTTAACCAAGCTTGGGACGCGATTCAGATGGACGCCAGAGGCACAGGAAGCTTTTGAAGCACTAAAGAAGTTATTTACCTCGGCACCCATTCTGGGTCATCCCGACGCCTCCCTGCCCTACATCTTAGAAGTAGATGCGTCAGAAAACGCGGTTGGCTCCATCCTTTCCCAGCGGAAGGGCGCCAAGGAATTACTTCACCCAGTAGCATTTTTCTCACGAAAACTTACCCCGCGGAGAGGAACTACGACATCGGGGATCGCGAACTACTGGCTATCAAGACCGCATTAGAAGAATGGAGGTACCTGCTGGAAGGTGCCTCCCATCCCATCCTGATATTCACGGACCATAAGAACCTGGAATATCTGAGGACAGCCAAACGTCTACGCCCACGACAAGCAAGATGGGCATTGTTTTTCTCGAGGTTCCAGTTCCACATCACATATAGGCCCGGCTCAAAAAACACGAAGCCGGACGCGTTGTCGCGCATGTACGAGGACACCAAGGAGATCCCAGTACCCGACACTATTCTTCCTGCAGGAAATTTCTTGGCCCTCCAGACGAACCTTCGCTCCGAGATCCTGAGAGCGTCCACAGCGATGTCTACCTCCGATGGGGTGCCCCTCCAGAACAAGGAGGGACTCCTATGGAGGGAGGACCGAATTGTGGTGCCGGAGGAGGCCCAAACCTTAGTCTTGGGATATTGCCATGACCACCCAATGGCAGGACATTTTGGCCCGGTCAAGACCCTGGAACTTCTCCGACGTTCCTTCTGGTGGCCGGACATGGCCAAGGATTGTAAGAATTACGTGGGCTCCTGTGCCATCTGCCAGCGGAACAAGCCTTCAAGAAATAAGGCGTGGGGCCTGCTACGTCCATTACCCATCCCTGAACGGCCCTGGCAGAAAATCTCTATGGACTTCATAGTCGAGCTTCCACCTTCACTGGACCACACAGCAATTCTCGTGGTCGTGGACCGCTTATCCAAGATGGCCCATTTCATTCCTTTACGGAAGACTCCATCAGCAGCCGAGACGGCGCGAGTTTTTATTCGAGAGGTCGTCAGACTGCATGGGGTCCCCGAAGACATCGTCTCGGACCGAGGGGTACAGTTTACCTCGAGGTTTTGGAGGGCATTGTGCAAAGCCCTGGACATCAAGCTATCCCTTTCCTCGGCATTTCACCCTCAGACCAATGGTCAGACCGAAAGGACCAATCAGACTCTAGAGCAATATCTGCGATGCTACACTTCATTCTCTCAGGACGACTGGGTGCCACTTCTCCCTTTGGCGGAATTCGCGTACAACAACGCTTGCCATTCAGCAACTGGGCAGTCCCCGTTCTTCTCCAACTATGGGTTTCATCCTGTCTTCCTCCCGGATTTAGTCCCGGAATGCCCAATCCCAGCGACACAGGATGCACTAACCTTCTTCACTTCCAACAATAAGAAACTACAGGAAGCCGTCCGTCAAGCCCAAGAAGACTACAAGAGGGCTTTTAATAGGAAGCGAAGAGGGGATCTGGTGTTGCAGCCCGGAGAGAAGGTTTGGCTGGCTACATCAAACTTGAAGATGCTCTGCCCGTCAAGGAAGTTGGGACCTAAATTTATAGGCCCTTTTTGCATCAAACGGATGGTCAATGAAGTGGCCTATGAACTTGTTCTCCCTGAGACACTCAAGATCCACCCTGTCTTCCACGTGTCCCTGTTGAAGCCGGTAGTCCCTGATGCCTTCCCGGAACGGGAATCCAGGCCCCCGGAGGCCGTAACGGTTGAAGAGGAAGAAGAATTCGAGGTGGAGGCAATCCTGAAGTGCCGACGAAGGGGGGGCCAGACCCAATTTCTCATCAAGTGGAAGGGCTACGGCCCTGAGGACAATTCGTGGGAACCAGCCCATAATGTCCATGCACCTAGACTTGTCCGGAGGTTTCTTTGTGATCACCCGTGGTGGAGAGATCGGGTGGGCATCCGGAGGTTGCCCGTAGGGGGGGGGGCAATGTCAGGGATCTCCTCGATCCCTGCCGCGATGGTCCCGGCGCAGGCGCACTGCTCCGCCCTGTACACAGGCACTAGGTCCGGGCCGGCCACGGTGTTCGAGTTCGCGCATGCGCAGTAGAAGCCACGGCCGCCCGCTGGGCACCAATGGCAGCGCAGGGCGGGATATTTAAAGGTCCCTGAGCTGTCATTTCGTTGCCTTCTGGTCTTACCTGCTTCCTGTGATTCTGTACCTGTGCCTTGTAAGTTTATTGACCCGGATTGTTCTTGACCTGCTGATTTCTCCTGCCCAGACCCTTGCTTTGCCTGACCTCTCTCCCTGGATGCCCCTCATTAGATCTGACCTCCTGTTGCTGACCTGGCGTGTGACCCGACGATTCTCTGCCTGCTCCCTTGTACCCTACCGTCCTCTACGTTACCGACTCGGCCTGTCTGACTACGCACTTACTCAGCCATCCATCCATCCATCCCATCGGGGTCACCCGACCTCCTCACATCTGGCTCTCCCTGGTTGGAGCCCCTGGCGAACACCCCTACCACTGACAGGTGTGCTCAGTAGTGGCGACCTGGTCTCGGGGTACTACAAGTCCATCCCCACCATCAGGGGCCCTGGTGAACAAGTACCCTGGGGCTTAGACTCCGCGCTCTGGGCACGCCTGACCAGTGGAGTGCTAGTGGTGCCGCTCGGCGGTCCCTCACAGCACTGGGTCCTCTAGGGGATTTATTAAGCCTTTTTAACTTTTGTGACTTCCTTAATTTTGCTTTTGCCTGTAATAAAGACCTGTTACTGCTGTTCTCTCTCTTTTTACAGGATGACTGGTCTTGCAACCACCCCCTCTTCTCTAGTTTTTGCAGGGCAAGTGTAGTCAGTAGACTTGCTGAGTCCCTCTCACCACCCTGTTCTGTGCACAGTCTATGTGCAGCACAGTCTATGTGCAGCACAGTGATGATGTCACCGGGTAATAACTGGTTATGGAAAAGGCATTTGGTGCACAAAATTGGATTTACATTGTTTGTGTCTGTTGAGGAATATATATATATATATATATATATATATACTGTATATATAGTAATATGATCATTTCATATTTTCCAGTGTTCCAGTGTATACTTCTGTTATGCAGTGTTTGTTTTGCCCTTTTCCAATATGGTTGCTATGCTCTCTGGGCACTGAGGATGAGGTCATCAGAAACTTGTGGAAAAGAGAGGGGTGTGGTTTTCCTGCAGAGCGAGAGCTCAGACTGTAAGTGTTGCAGCCTCACCTCACTGAGACATGCAAAAAAAAAAAGACTGTTAATGCTTTAATGTTCCTGTTTGGAAGATACTTTATGTTGGATGGTTTACTGAATGTGATTTCTTCAATACATGGACTTTCATATACAATGCTGTGTGGATTACTGTCTATGTGGATGATACATTTCTCAGTTGGGATTTCACTTGTTATCCACAAACCCCAATTGAGTGGAGGCACTAGCACTTGTTAGAGATCTTGTCCTGATCACACAGATTATAAGGATTCTGCTCCTAATTACTATACAGGTGGCGCCATCATAACCCAGTAGTCTCAAAGAGTGTATAAATAGCGCTACACACACACATATATATATATATATATATATATATATATATACATATATATATATATATATATAAGATTTTGTGTACAGAGTTCAGTTTTAAAGACACATATGTTCATCAATATAATGTAATAGCATTGCCCCTCCCATAACGCAGTTCTTGCACAAAACATCCCAGCATTCTCAAGGTCCACAGTTTGTATCTATGAGCAGCCATGTTAAATGTGTGTGATAATACACTCTGAAAATCACATTTTGCTAGAAGTATGCAGTTCACACTGCATTCCTGTTCCAAATAAACTGCTGCATATGTACACTGCACGACAGTCCCTCTGCTGTACATAATAAAAGACTAAGATGTTACTTTCTTTATTCCACTAAGAAAGGAAATCTGCATTGCTAGAACGGAATCTGTTTTTTTGAAGACATCTCACAGTGTTCTCCTGGCTGGATCATCCAATGGTCAACAAATTGATTTTATGAATAGTTGGGGGTCTTTCATATTTTGTTTCCACTTACAACCTTGCAGAGTATGAAATCATGTAAGGAGGGCTTGGAGGCAGAGCCTATATTCATAGGTTCCCCCAGGAGCAGGTCATGTGAGAGAATGTTATTAGGCAACCTAGCATGCCTTAATGCACCACACAAATGTAAATGGGCCCTAAATCATAAGCAGGTGAATTATCGAGGACCTGAGGTTTAGAAGCTATGCCCAAAAAATTATTTCTGGGATTTTTCTGCAGCTGATCTTTATCCCAAAACTAAACCAGGTAATGTAAGATGGCTTCAGCTCTGCTCTCCACCAGTGGGAGAGGTCACTCTGATGCATTTCACCCACTAATTTCAATGATTAAGCCCACTAGGACCTAAACACATCAGTACATTTTTAGGGTACTGTTTGGGCACAATTAATATTTCTGGATATTCCCTATAACATGGTAAATCTTCTCGGTTTAGCTCCACTTCAAAGTATAACTAAAGCAAAACTTTTTTTCTGGTTTTGGATAGAGTGGAGAGGGAGTAGAACACCGATTGGGATTTTATGCTGTCTGTACCCCATTAGAAAGATTCACCCTCTCTGTTTGTCCTGTTTACCATTATCATCAAACGTTATAGTGAAAGAAATCTGAAATTTTGGGTTGTCACCAGAATAGGAATAGAGGGGAAATGTTCCTCTGGTGACAACCAGGTATTCCCTCATTATGGAGGGATTTTCTCTTACTTCCTGTTTTTTCTATGGGATGGGAAGCGAAGGAAATATCTGCAATGGGACACAGACAACAAAATGAAATTAAAGTCTTGCCATTAGGGGGCTATTTAACTTCAGGCCAACAGTACAAAAATATGCGGCCACTTGGTGGCTAGGCGTTGACATTGAGTGACCATTTGTAAACAAACGTGCTGAGAACGCGCTCCCAGAACATGTGCCGGTGTCCGATGGAAAGGTCCCGATCTCTCCTTGCAATTGGGACCTTTTCATGTGACTGCTGTGACAGCCAATCATGGTGGTCCCATGACCCTAAATCCTGCCACGCCGTCAGAAACCCCTTAAAGGGCCGGGAGGTGCCGGCGTGAAGGGGTTAAGAAAAAAGTTTTCTGTGCATTATATAGGATGGTTGAAGTGTACACACTATAGTAATAGTATTACCAGCTCAAGGAGGAAAAATAACATATAGCCAGAATTACCTTTAGCTTCTTCAGTTTCAGATTAAGATGAACATATGTTTGAGGGCGGTTAGTATCCACCATCGGCTTGGCAGACTGCACCTAAAACAGGACATAATTTTGTTTATTAACGAATGTGCTGTTTATTGCATTATTGCAGTCAGTTTTGTTTCTATGATTCATTCATTTTTCCTTGCAGCATTAAAATGCTGACGTGGCAGCGGGGATCCACTGTAGATACTAGGATCCAAGACTCCTGGCAGTGTTGCATTCCTGTCACCTTTACAGGGCTTATGAATAAGATAAAAAAGTAGGGATACAGCCAGGGGTGGACTGAGAACTCATGGGGCCCCCAGGCAATAGGAGATCATGGGGCCCCTGTGTCTTTGCCTCAAAAAATCCAATTAAAAAGGTGCCAGGGGCATCTCATGGGGCCCCCTACTGACCCCGGGCCCTCGGGCTGTGCCCGAGTTTCCAAATGGTCAGTCCGCCCCTGGATACAGCTAGATGTTGTTTTGTCTTTATTGAAAAGAAGCATTCAAATTAAAACGTTTCTCCTGGTGACAAGGTCTTTCTGAGGCTATTGATGTGAATTTTCTTTTCTTAGACTTTTTTTCCCTCGGTATTCCCCTGGTGATCTGGCCAATAACACATCTCTTTTATTAGAGTGCCCCCACTCTGTTTTAAGGAGCATAGGGGGCACCATTGGACAGCAGCATTGTCAGTCTGGAGGAAGAGTAATGTTAGATGGACTAGCAGATTTAAATGAACTAAGCATTTAATCCAAACTCCAGCTAACACTTTATAAGCAGTTACTGCAAGCCATTTTCTTTCCTTTTGTGATAAAGGTTTTAAATAAATAAAATTGGATTGTTGTAAGCACGACAAACAGCAAAACAGAAAAATTCACAGCTCAACTTGCCAGCCAGCTTGCAGACAAACCGAATTAACCTGTCTAACAGTATGCATTAAAAACAGGGGTTTAGTTAGCACACATTTGCAGATACATGCGTAAGCTACAGAGCCTTGTCTCGGCACCTCAATATTCTGTAGTTCCCAACTCTACAAATTTTAAGAGCCCCCATAGTAGAGGCACATGTATTTAATGTATGTGTGCTAACTAAATCCCTGTTTTTACCGTATACTGTTAGACAGGTTAATTCGGTTTGTTTGCAGGCTGGTTGGCAAGCTGAGCTGGGAATTTTTCTCTTTTGTTGTTTGACATGCGTCGCCCTTCCGTGTGCTCCTTGCTGTGAAGGCCAGTTATAAACTGGGGCAATGGCCATTTTTTGTATTGTTGTAAGCACCCCTGCTAGTTTTAAATGGTTTGCTTCATCTCTGTAATTGATACATTCTGCTGGAGAGCTTGTTCTTTTGAAAAACAACAGACTTAGTGGCCAGATCACAAAATGAAAAGAGAAGAAAGAAAGCCTAAAAAAGAAAACAAATGCAGCCATCTCATCTAAGAATTGGTAAGCTGCAATATAATAAATGTTTACTTTCGGGTTTATTACTCCTTTCAGTGAAGTGAGGTGATTCTAGGCTACTTATGTCGAAGTGTAAATTGAGTGAAGTGAACCTGTGTTCATATTACACATCAATCATGTTAGAAGAAGACCTATTTTTAAATTCCTCTGTACATTGGATGTGTCATGTTCACCTCAGCTCCCTAAAGCCAGCCATAGATGGATCAAATGTTGGCTGGTTCAGCAGGGACTGGCCGAGATCTGATCCATAATGGGCAGGCTGGTTGTACTTAAGTCGATCCATCCATTGATCAACTTCAGTACAACCAGCCTGTCTGACTTTTTTCATGCAATCACTGCCGTTGGCTATAACTGCCAGCAGAGCTCGTTGTTTTTTGCCGGCAGGGAAGGCTCTCTGCCGGCAGAACACAATAGAAGTGTGGGAGGAATTCCCACATCAATATTGACACCTTTGATGGAGAAATCTATCAATTTTATTTCCTTCCACCCATAGGGGATGGAAAGAAACTTGCATAATCTATGGACTGCTTTAACACCTAAAGTAATCAAGACCCCAATTGCTTTGCTGCACCTCACCTGACTTCACAGCTCACCAAACCCAGCTCATACTGTTTTAGCAATCTCTGCATTGATACTTATACATTTCTTACAACAAAAGAAATGTTAATTGTATACTTTGTGTAGCATAACAAAGTGATAGCCTGTAACTGCTCTTTTGTTTGGCTATAATTGTATGTTATTCAGTGCAGTTCAACTGGAAATTTGCTTACATGCACACTGACTTGTAAATATGTTTATAGTTGTTGGGCTACTAAGCAACAAAGTAACAAGGTGCATATAAAGAGTTACTTTGCTAAGTGAACAGTCTGTACTCCTTTAGTAAATTAATCCCCTTGTCAGTCAATGCAACACGGCAGGAGATGCATGACCCATAACCTTTAATTGCCTTGTTAACCTGTGTGTGTCACCTTGTGTTTCTGTACCAAGGCCAAACATTCCAGAGTATGCAAACTTGTGATCAGGGCTATCTGGGTGATTTCTGTAATCATTATGGTTTAAAAAGGATCCAAACAACTATGTAATAACAAATGGATTGATATGATCATCATCCTTCAATAAAAAACAGTTTTCTTTGCATGATCAGTCATTTTTTTTTCAATATAAATGCCAAAACTTCACCATTTCTGCCAGGGTATGCAAACGTTTGAGCACAACTGGATGTGGACAAAGGCAGCATAGAGGCTTAGTGGTTGCATTTCTGTTTTGAAGCACTAGGGTCCTCAGTTTGAGCCCTGGTCAGGAAACTATCTGCATGGAGTTTGCATGTTCTCCCTGTACATGTGTGAATTTCCTCCTGTCTAATAAATTGGCCTATGGAATATATATTACTGAGCATGCCCTAGACAGCTACTTCATCATCTGTCCCAACAGCAGATAAAGCATTTTGAGTCCCAGGGTAAAAAACTCTATACAAACATTAATCATCATTATTAGGGATGCACTGAAATTTTGGTGGCCAAAATGTTTTGGCCGAAAACAGCCCTTTCGGCTGTCGGCCAAAATGAAAAAAAAGGACCATACAGGTGCCAAAAAAACAATGGCAATGGGCATAGAGATAAGTGAAGGAAAGATTAGCTCCACTCATCTCTATGCTCTTGGAGAACCGGAGCAATGTCACTTTTGGTTCCTTTTTTTTTTTTTTTTTATTATTATTATAAAGCACTAGATCAATGCTTTTTGGATCTAATGCTTTACATTGCAGAGGAGAGATGTGGGGTCTTATTGCCCCTATATCTCTCCATAAAGAGGACTTGTCACTAATTATTTCTATCACAAGGGATTCATGCAATTCTTGTGATAGGAATAAAAGTGATTACATTTTTTTTTTAAAGGGACAGTGCAAAAAAAAAAAAAAAAAAGTAAAATAAAAAGTTTAAAGTGCCCCCGTCCCCCCATGCCCACATATGTAAATGTTACATGAGGTATCGCCACGAACGTCAGGGCAAGAGCAATAATTCTCACAGTAGACCTCCTCTTTACACTTTACTTTACACTGCCAACCTGTAGAAATCTTTAAACATCACCCATGGAGATTTTTAAGTACTGAAGTTTCACACCATTCCACAAGCGTGCGCAATTTTAAAGTGTGACATGTTGGGTATCTATTTGCTCACCGTAACATCCTCTTTCATACTTTACAAAAAATTGGGGGGTATATATATTTTTTTTTTTTTTTGAATCAAAGTGTATTTTTTTCCAAAAAAAATATATTCATTTTAAAATACTGGGCATTTCGGTTTCGGTTTTTTGCCAAGTGCATTTTGAAGTTTCAGTTTCGGCACCAGAATTTTCATTTCAGTGCACCACTAAATTATTATTTTTAATAATAGTAATAAATATTGGTAACATCAGATTAAGACCACCATCTCAACTAAAAAAAAAACAAGTCTATAATAAGTTTGCTATACGGCACTAAGAGTAATGGTGATGACAGGGTATTGTATGTGTGATAATGGACAAAATGTCCTTGGGATTTAAAGAAAACCTGTAAAATAAAAGTTGCCATTGATAACCTCTCCTTTTAAAAATGCTAGTTCCCTTGCTGTCATTTAATCTAACCACTTCATTATTTCCTAGGTCACAGACTTAGAACAAATAGGCCAATTGGATGAAATATCTGACTTCACTGACTTTCCTGATCTGCATGCTTCTTGTAGGTCTGTATCTCAATGTAATAAAGTCAGAGATAGCCAGTCAACTTAATTTTTTTCCTTCTTTGTACAGCTAGTTGTTAGTAAACCTCTGTTCACCAATCTAATTTTTCACAAAAATTACAGGATTTTAAAACATTCCCTAAATGTAAAATGTAAAGAATTTTAAATAGATGGATAATGTGGGACCCAGAAGATTGGTGGAAAAAATGGTGGCACTGGCAGATAGAGCAGATAAGGACCTGCTGGACCAGGATTTTGGGTCTTAAAAGGTAAAAACGGTAAAGTTGCACTGAAAAGACCACCAGGATGTATTTCATCCATGGACAGCTTGAGGGGTGAAAAAGGAAATGAGGGCAACAAAGGTGCTCACTATGTATGGCCACAAATGTGGTGAAGCAGGTAAGTATAGTTCCACTTTAACTGGTGACCTGCTGCCATCCAATCAGCTCCGATCTTTCATTTTCTCTGTACAGTTTGAAAAATGTAAAAGCTGATTGGCTGCGCTCTAGTTGAGGCAAAGTCATGACCAAGATTGTCTCAGACACTTTTTATTAATCCCCCCACTGTGTTTTCCCATTTTGTGATGTCAATGTTCTGCATTGTGAACCTTCATCCTACCAAACCACAATAATATATTTTTTTATCAATGCCGTACCTTTCACTTATGCTCATCATAGTAGGTTTTGTCCCATTTCTGTTGCAGATATTTGTTACCACATGGTAGTATTGGTTGATATGCTCTGTGCATCTTCAGAGTGACTGTCCACACAGTCTGAGAGCCTTGTAATGAATGATGCAGAGTGGATGTGAGCCTGGGGAGAGAAGCCGTGGAGACCGCAGTGTGTTTGAGGCCAGTCATGTGGTGGTTGCCATGACATTGGTGTTAAGCAGAAAAAAGAAAAGCTGCGGCTAACCTTTTAAACACCATGGAGGTAGATCAGCAAACAATCATAAAGTAAACCTGTCAATCCACTGAGTGACTATATAATAATACACTGCAAGAAGATTAATCCCATACTCAGGATGTCAAAGGTACAGGAACTGCAACCTGCAAAGAGCAACAGGCAGCTTCAAATGACGAGTATACAGCCATACACCAATTAATTTAAAATATGGCAGCTGTTCAGAACATGCTGCTATAAACTGAAGGTGCTTTTTTTAAATATAGACCAACGCTAAAAATAAAAAAGTCAGATAATCTCTCTTTCTAGGAAAATTAATACATTGCTATAAGAACAAGTCTTGCTAACAGTGTGAATGAAGAGATATAACAGAGACAGGACAAGGATGGGTGCACCCAACATATAGCATTCCCAAAGGCACTATCTCCATGTAGGAAGCAGAAAAAATGAAATACAAAAGTAAATACAAATGAAAAAAATATATATATACTGTAAGTGTAGCACTACCCCCTTAGGAGTCGCTAAAGATTTGGGTCCCCCTGTAGTCCTGCACAGCCAAGCAACACACATTTTCCATACAGACTTGTATCCAGGAGACAGTAGCCAGTCCTTGAGCTTGTTTTTTGGATTTTATTATGAAGATTTGAGCTTGGACGGGTAAGGGGTGTATGGGATGGCCAAAGGGAATGGCAACTGAGGACAATCTTCCTAAGAACTTTGTACAAGTCTCTTTAGACTGCAAAAAATTCTCTTTTGGAGAGCTAGTCAGCATCTCCTGGTGTACCACCCCAGATACTCCTTTATCCAGCTGTACTGGGCAAATACCTGAGCAGGGGATCCATTGACTGTCACTTTAAACAGAAGAATGTCCCAGGTAGCAAGCTAATCCAAATTCCCACTAAAGTGCTCCTTCCCCTTTCTGGCCCAGGGGGTGTAGGTCTACTCTCTCAGTCCTCTGTCTGTGAGCTGATGGGTCGGTGGCTGCTCTCATGCCTTCCGCTGGGCCGCCCCTTACCTGCTCCACAGATGGTCCTCGCTCTGGGTGCTGATGAATTCCTGAGCTTTCCTCCTTTCCAGCTCCTCTGCCTGTAGGTGATCCCCTTCCAATCTGGGACCCCTCCCAGGCTCCTGCTCTCCAGTCTCTCACTTTATCTCTCCTGCTGCTGAGTAGGCTCTGTAACATTTGAAGGTTGCCCTGGCCCCATGCCAAGCCTCCTGTTTGGGGACTGGCTAAGCTCCTCCATGTCTGCAGGGCAGCCCCTCCTCACCCCCATTCACTGCTTCTAGAATCTTCTCCAAGATTCTAGAACAGGGGGAGGTATCAGGAAACTGGCCTGCACAGCCTCTCATCTCTGACCCAAATTTGACCTCCCTCTGACTATCACCACAGACTGCTACTCAGCCATTGACTAACAATTTAGCACTAGCTCCCCCTAGCTATCTAGGAGAGTGCTACATAAGGAAAACAAGCCTGCTATGTTTTTATGTTCACATGTACATGCAGAGTCAACTCAAAAGACCTGTACCTAGTATCGGGACAGGTTTGTTCAGTGCCCAGGGCAAGGATGCTGTGGAACTGAACACCACTTCCCCTAGTGCTACTAACACATGGCTTAAAATGGGTGTACTGCACTGTGCCTGTTCTATGCCCCCTTGTTTCAGCTGCCCATGGATGGCATGGTGCGTGCACTGGAGAACTAAGGACATAGTGGGCATGTTGAAGCTCAGCATGACATGAAGCTGTGGCCTTCTGCTTGCCAACCACTGATCTGGAGCATGCGTGCAGCGAGGGGACTGTGGCTCATCATGTGGCAACCCCCCTCATGCATGACAATGCTGCACCCAGGGTGGCTGAACCTCCTGCCCACCCGTTGTCCCCACCATGCTTGTACCCATAGTATGGAGTCAGTTCTGTATATTTCAATGAGGAGCAGAAGGTTATCCAAGGGGCTCACTGCCCCAAGAACTTATCATATGTTTTTATAATCCTGTCTGTCCATTCCTCGGACTCCTCTGTTTCATCTACTCTAGTGAGTCATCCTATCACCTGGAGGGGGGGTTGAGGGTTGGACTCTGTTATTCCACAAAAATGAATTGAGACGTTTTCCTGTGTTAAGTAGCAAGGAATCGGTTTCTTCTTACAAAAACCTTTGAAACGAGGTGTATCATGGACTAGAATGACCACATGGTCATTTGGCAGTATTGCAATGTTGAACATTTCTCACCTTTGTCCAAAAGGGTTATATAACCAGAAAATCCCAACATACATAGGAAAGTCCCTTGTGACCACAGCCTTACCAGCAAGCTGAGGAGGAACCTGGAAGCAAGTGGATTGTGCTTCCAGGTGCTCTACATTGTCACAAAAACCTGTACACATCTCTTGATGTTTATAGAGGTCTAAAGATTTTTTTTTAGAGAATTCTAAAGATGGTATTATTTCAGGTTCAAATAAAGTTATCCCTACCTCTTCAAGGACCCTGCATGTGAATGCACTTGTGGATGAATGCCCATGGGAACTTGTACATAGAGTACAGAATAGCCTACAAAGTCAAGCTATAACTAGAGAGTAGCCCAGCAACGACAGCAATGCTTACCCAAAATCCTGCCAGTTGGGCATCAATGGTGCCAAAGGATGAAAGAAACTGAAAGTGCAGGATAGCCAGAGATTGTTGCAAAGGCTAAGTGGAACTAAGATTAAGCATCAGAAATTGGATCAAATGCATAGTTGGTAATAAAACAGGTACATGTGATATCTGTAAAAACATGGTCAGCAACGAAGGCTAGTGTGAGAAGAGGCACACTGATGAGCTTACAAACATACAAGCAACTTGATAGTGGATTCTTGTTCAGCCATGCCTCTTTAGGTGCACAGCATATCTGGAGGTATAATAGCATTGTTCACCTATTTTTGATTTGTATTTGAAATTGCACAGCAAACATAGGTCAGTAGATTCCCATTTACCTGAATGGTACAGTATGGACAATAGACAGTTCTTAGGTTGTGTTTGACCTACTTTGCATTGTGTTTCTTTGAATACAGCATGTCTTTTTGGAGATGTGTTTGCATTGCAGTCAAAGCAGGTCAAACACAGTCTTTTGTGTGAGCTGTGCTGCATTCAACAGTCATGTCTGTCTACACAAACTCTCAGGGAATCCTTTATATGTATGTGACCCTTCAGAGGGAGCCAGTGGGCAACAAGGCCCATGATGAGATTAAAAAAGCCTACCTGTGGAAACCAGTGCTGTGGAAACAGTGGAACAGACTTGCAATCTTGGGTTTCAGTTGCTATCCCGAGAGCCAACCATAATACCAAATTGGTTGAACTAGATAGACTTGTTTTTTTTTACCTGACTAACTACATAACTATAATGTAAACAACCATTGGTCATGTAATTGATAATCACAATGAGATCTAAGATCTGTAGGTAGGTTTGGACAGGACTATACCTTTGTTTCCGATTTCAGAAATGAACAAGTACAAGTTCAACAAACGGCAATTGTCCACATTGCATTCCAGGCATACATCCCTGAATGCATGTGGCCCTAATGACAAGTACCATTCGGTATAGCATACAGGGGCCAAACCTCCTATGTGCAAGAGGCCTTACTCTCAATCTTCATATTTCACTAAATGATCCCTACTGTGAAGTAAAAAAAATTGAAATTGTCATTACATGAAGCAAACTTAATATAATACTTTCTATCTGAAAGTGTTTTTCCCGTTAAAGGGAATTTCCTCACCCATGCTAATAAAATGGGAATTTAAGGTTTTACTACTTAAAAGGTACCAATATATAAAACATTTATAAATAGAGAGAGAGAGAGAGAGAGCGAGAGAGAGGACAGGGACGTCTGCCTAACATTTGCTGCAATGTCTGTTAACAATAACCCTATTGGCAGGAAGTGACTTAGCTTCAGAACTTCTTTTGTGGCTGGATGAAGGAGGTCACTTGGGACAGATCTGGGCAACAACATCATAAGCTGGCCATCAGTTCAAACAGAAAAAAGTATTTTGTGAGTAATTCATCTTTTATTTAGTTACTTCATTTATTTAAAGTAGATCTATAAAAAAAAATCTACTTAGACCCCTGCATTTAAATAAAAATGTTAACATGATTTCAAAAGACAAGTTCCATATTTTAAATCTGCAGATTTCATATAATACCTGGTGATCCTGCCATGAAAGTCCATCAGAGAACCTAGGGAGAAACTTACTGGGTGATGGAGAATGGCAAGTTTAAGGGTTGGGCAGAATTGAATAAAGGGAATCACTTCACCCCATACAAAGATTTCCCCATGCAGACAATTCTTGTAATAACCAACACCCCCGAAAGGGCTAAAAGTGGTAGTAAACACTGATTTAAACTTGTACTCACTGTACTGTTAAGCTTGTAAGTCTATTAAAGTTGCCATTCAATGGATATTCACATCTGCTCCAGCCGATGACGTCACTGTGCATGCGCAGTACCCTCTGCATTCAGGCCACACTGAAAAGGAACCTGGAAGAAAGACCTGGTGAAGATAAAAGTGCTGGGAGTGGTGTCAGTGCAGCGCTGGAGGGCTGTGTTTGACAGGTAAGTCTGCCATAATGTGCTAATATGCGACGCATACTAGCACATTATGGCATAACACTGCAGGGGCCAGAGACTACATACTATAGAAAATAGTCAGAGATTGCAGATATACTACAGAAGATGGTCAGGGACTGCAGGCATACTACAGGAGATGGTCAGAGTCTGCAGGCATACTACAGCAGATGGTCAGAGACCGCAGGCATACTACAAGAGATGGTCAGAGACTGAAGGCATACTACAAGAGATGGTCAGAGACTAAAGGCATACTACAAGAGATGGTCAGAGACTGAAGGCATACTACAAGAGATGGTCATAGACTGAAGACATACTACAAGAGATGGTCAGAAAC